TCTCTTATAAAGAGGAAAATTAGAAGGGTGCAGATGTGAAGGAGAGAAGTGAATGCTCCAGCTAAGACAGGGGTTCTCAAGCTGGGGGGTTGCGAGGTTATTATATGGGGGACACGAGCTGTCAGCCTCCACCCCCAAACCCCACTTCACCTCCATCATTTATAATAGTGTTAAATATAAAAAAAGTGTTGTTTTTAATTTATAAGAGGGTCACTCTCGGAGGCTTGCTGTGTGAAAGGGGTCACCAATACAAAAGTTTGAGGACCATTGAGCTAAAAAAAACAAAAAAAAACAGCACCATCTTCCTTTCTCAATTGTGAATTTTTGGGCATCAAGTAAGATGTTCTTAAATGACTGTCAATTATCATTCACATCTTTCTGATTAAATTCTTCCTCCCAGCTGATTTGGCTCATAAGTGTTTTCAGCTTTGTGAAAGTGGCCCTATTAAAGAACAAAGGATATATTGCTGGTCTGGACTTTATTCTGCTTACACATTATAAGTGTGATCAAGTCATGATCACTTGTACTTAAGATAACGTTAATTTTCTGTTCTGTGATCAGTTTTTCTTTATCTGTTAGGACAAGGACTAGTAAATAATTCCCATGTTGGCTGCAATACTTTTTGAGTTAGGATGTGAAACATTTACTAGAATGGAAGCGACAAGCATGTTTTCAGATATTTACAAAAGCTGGAGATGTCTGGCTCCTTTTATTTTTCTCTACCATCTGCTTTAGTTTCTCCTCTTTTAAATTCTTATGTCACAGCTGCAAAGTAAAGAACCAGACAGTAACTGAAGTTAAAATTAAATCAAAATTAAAGCCTCAAGTTTAAAAATAAGTCAATTCCAGTTCATTTCCTCTAAAATGCAAAGGCCCATAAAGTAAAAACACAGCTTTGGAGTATTCGGTAAGAAGTCGATTTATTAGTTTTCATGGCCAAAATCACCTTTCTGAGTTCACACAGTTACAAAATAGATGGAAGTTATTTTGGGAAACATATTTATGGCACATAAATTGGTGCTAAATTGATTTATTCAGACAATTACAGTGTGTGATTACTACTCTAATTAAAGTTCACATCAGGCTAAGATAATGAGTTGTTGTGTTTGTGAATGTGCAATTAGAGTCTTCCTGATAATTATAGGTTTTAAAATCATACTTTTAGCCCCCTAGCTTGTTCATTCGTTATAGTCACAGGCTGAAATGCTGTGAAAGAGTCAATTCAGCCTGGCTCAGCTATGTGTATCTTTATTTCTTTTCGTACATGGCCTATGTTTTTGCTTTGTGTAAACCTGTGCTCCCAACTGCAGGGTCCGGTCTTAGCCCCTTTTAACATGTCTTTGTCAGGAAGTCAATGAATATCTAATCTTCAAACCCAGTGTAAAAGCCTCTTGTGGCCCACACCGTTGTCCTGAAAACTCCTAGCAGCATGTACCTGAAGAAAAAACTGGCATTAGCAGCCTTCATGTGTTAATTACACATGCAAAGCCTATTATGCACAGAAAGGGCACCTGCTGGCAGTGAAAATGACTAGAATCTGCCCTTCCTGTGCAGTGAGTAAATTGAAGGTTCATTTCTACAGGAGATAATAGTTTTTAGATTCCATTCCGTGTATCCCCGACATGGGCATGTACTTAACATTTAAATCATCTGCAGAGGAACAAACCTCCTTTAAATTTACATGTTTCAGGCTCCTAGCACTTCACTTAAAATGCTAGTTATCCCTGCTGGTTCCTTACTTAGAAGCACTGCATAGGCTTTTGCTAAGAATGTGGAGAAAAGTCACAGAGAAGAATATAATAAAGCTGTTAGCACAGACTCCAGTTTCTTGAGATTTATGGATCCTGATCGAAGCCACGGAAGTTAGCTTAAGGTGATCAAATTAAATTTTGAATCAATTATCTGTTTTTCTCAATAGCAGTTTTTTTATTTAACCATCATTGCATTTTCTGTTCTTTAAGGGGTCAAATACACCCACTGATTTTTTTGGTTGTAACACATTTACTGGTGAAATGTCAAAAAACTCATTAAAACAGAAAAAAATATTTAGCACAAAAGCATGCAAAGCCACTGATGGGTGCATGCCTGATCTAACTAGTAGCAGTTCTGGCCACTAGTTATTAGATATGTATTTCCACTGTATTTTATTTCAGGAATTGTAGGTAGGTATTTTGTGGCAGACTATGTGGTGCTGTTAGTCTGAGTGTTCCTACAGCAAGTGTGTTTAACATGCACTTCTTCCTATGACTCTGAGGCATGATATGCATACTTAGACTGTCTTGGCTATTATAATTGAATATATATTGTTTCAAGCACAACATTTAAGGCAGGTCAGAGACAAATTTTTTGAGTAAAAATATATCCCACACTGTTCTGTGGCTATGGAGCATTTGGTATGACACTATTCATATGAATTTACGTGAACAGGAACAGTTCTTAATTCACACACCTCCCCAATCACACAGTGAAGATGACTTTTGGCTTTCAGCATTAAAACTGAAGGATTGGCAGCATCTCTACTGGAGGTCACAATCAGGGTTAAGTAGGCACTTTTCAGCATATACATTTTTATTCACAACATCCCCAGTTCCTTTGCCCCCTCTTGTCAGTTTCACTTCACTCCCTGGTGTAAAATTAACATGGAGCAGTGCAAAGCTAAGTAGGAATGGAAAAGGGAAGTGATTAGGAGCAGCATGAACTTAACAGGCAAGTTTTAGGTGTGTTGCCAGTTTAAAAAAAGCCAAATTGCAGAAGCTTTTCTTAAAATGTGTCATAGTATGTGATCATGGAGTCAAAGATTATATCATAATGCATGCACACAAGGAGGCCAAATTAAAATTGCACAAATCTTGCATTTCCTAATTTTTGAGAGTTGATTTTGCAACCTTACCAATGTTCTTTTAACATAGCTTTTGTAATTATTTATACGGTGCTCACAATGTGCTAGATACTGAACTGACATAAAGGAAGACAGTCCCTGCCCTAACGAACTTGACTTGTTCACAAGCCTGGAACTCCTTATGCTATTCAGCTCTCGCTGTGCCCTCAATTACTTCAGCCATCCTTCTGCCTGCTTTTGGGAAGAGTATCACTGTCTCTTTGCACTTTCTGACAGGCTGTTAACGGTACTCCTCCCTCACATTCCTCGAGCTCAGGTTCAGATTCCCACCAAGTCATCCAAGACCAGGTAACCCCAACGCAATAGTCGCCATAGCCCATCTCACTTTTCAAGTTAAAACATAGTTTATTGTTGTGAGATACAAAATAAAAGGGAATTGCAAACAAAATAAGAGGTCATAAATAGACTAGAAATACTGTGAGACCAATTTCCATGAGAAGTATAGCTATCTGGGCTCTGCGCTTTTTGACCGGCATTAGTTAAACCCTTACATATTATACAGGTCTTTTTGTGGGGACTCGGCTGTTGCAAATGTTCTTGTAAACCTTGTCTGCACTAGGAATTGTACGTGTTCCTGACAGTAGATGATGTCTGCAACAGGGGTAGTTGAACCAGCACTTTAAAAAACAACATACATTCAACTGTGACGGCTGACAGGACCAAATTATGTTCAGCACATTTTCAAAACCATTGCTGTGGCATGCTCTTTGCAATAGGAGAATAAATAGCTTCCTTCACAAATCCTGAAGCTGCCACTAAGGGTCTGTCTACATGGCCAAAATAACCCTGCAACAGCAAATCACAGAGCCCAGGTCTACAGACTGGGGCTCATGCTATGGTGCTAAAAAACAACCATGTAGATGCCCCAGCTCAGCCTGGAGCTTGGACTCTGAAACCTAATCTCTTCCCCAGGCTTCAGAGCCCAAGCTGGAATGTCTACACGGCTATTTTTAGTGTCACAGTGTGAGCCCAAGTTTATAGTCCCAGACTCGGATACTCGCTGCTGCAAATTTGGGGGGGAGGAGGGGAAGGTGGCCATGTCGGTGTACGCTAAGGTCAACTGGCATATAAAATGACTTTCCTATGAAGAACAGATTTGATAGTTATACTACTATAACCTCCCACATGCACATGCTGGACCATCTTAAAAACATTCTTTGCTGCCACATCTTCTTCACGGAGGGCAATGATCGTTTGTGTAGAAACCTGCATATGTTTTGGTCAGATGATCAGAAAAGTGCCTGGATTGAAGATTTAATGGAGTCTTTCCTACAAGAATGTACTAAGGGCCCTTCTAAAAATCCAGAACAGTGCTTGAAATGTTTCTTTGTATGGATAGATAGCAGGCAGCTGTTTGTCAGGCATCCTTTGCACGTTGTCACTGTAAATGTATTTATTCTTAATTTGACCCAAGCAAAGGCTTAGGTGGACAGATTGAATAATGAAGAAAAATGCAAATGATTCCAGGCTGAAACTTTCTAGCTTGATGGGAAATTGGCGTAAGTAGCAAAGAGCATCTTGGGAGTTACAGGAAAGCTTACGGAGTTCACATGTGGGAGCATCCAGTGTCAAAGAATTCCTGCTCTCTTTCCCTTCCGTAGGAAGCTATAACTCCATGCTAACAGAGCAGGAGAGACAGAAAAGGTTTACACCCTCTCCCAAATAACGTATCAATTTCTAAACTCACACTGCAAAATAGAAGGTTGTAACAGGAAAGTACCAAAGAAAAAATAAACTGACAAATCAGGAAAGCAATGGGAAAATAGGAGTTATCTGTTTCTGCCTGTATCATTTATTTTTGGATTCTTCTTGATTTAAAATGTAACAGTTAAACAAAATCTATGCTGTAATAGTGAATCTTGAAGATCTAAAATTAGTATATAGTAACATTCTATAGTAATAGATCATGTTAGAGTAACTAATAAGACTGGTGCTATTACATTATGCTATGAAAACAATGTATTTGACTTATTGAATCAAGTACTTATTTAACATACACATATAAATTTTTAGATTAACAGTTACACCATAAAAACACTTAAGCCTTAAAATGCAGAGATTCATAAAACTGTTGTGAATCTAAATGATCTACAGTCTTACCAGCAGTAGTCCAATAGATGCGGGGGCAGAACAGGAATGTAAACATGTTGCCAGAACATTGGGTAGAGCATAGCTGCAGACCCATGAATGCAGGCAGTTAACTGAAAGATATAAATCAAAACAAGATCATAAATAAGATAAAAGTTAAGCTTAAAAGAAATGGCTGGCCAAAAAAACAAATAAATCATAAAATAAAATAAAATAATTGGTTAGAAGTAGCAATTGTTTTTCTCTTTGAAGATTTGACTACAGAACATACATTGCACTGGTAACAAATGCTAGTGATGGGTGGAGTAATACTGGTTCATGATGATTGTTGTTTGACTTAATTTTGTTAATATCAGAGTATATTTCGCCCAACACACACAACCTGAAGACAGCATTTCACATCTTCCTCAAAGCAACAGAAGCAGAGAAACAAAATCAGGGGCAGAAGGGAAGAGGGAGGAAATAATAAAAAATGTCAGAAAAAGCCTGACCCTGGCAATTTCCACCTAGTGAGTAGCTTAGAGATGTAATGAAACAAACAGCATAAATATTAAGGAAGGGGGGAAAAAAGCTGTTACCTCAATAGTACAGTAGGAACTTGGGATTAATGAATCGTAAACAGCATGGGTTTCTCTAAAACAATTCACGCCAAGCAAATTGATCATTTTGGCTAGAATTACCGAATAAGCGGGTAAAAGACAGAGTCTGTGTTCCTGGACTTCAGCATTTGATCTACTCACTATCACAATTTTTCATTAAAAGTTAATTCAAATTGGCTTGGACACTGACAGAAACTGAGAACTAAAGATAAATGGCAATCAAGCTGTGGGGAGGTGCCTACTAGGGTGCTGGAGGAGTTGATTTGGGTCCCAACCTTATTTAAAATCTTAATTAATAATCAGGAAGAGAATGTGAAATTTACTGAAGGAATTAAAATGGGAGCTGTTGTGAACCCCTAAATGGACAGATACTTAAAACACAAGGAAGCAGAAAAGGTCAAAACCCTGCATGAGCAGGAAATAATATTAATATTAATAATTATTAGTATTTGTATTACTATAGCACCTAGGAACCCTAGTCATGGACAATCATCCCACTGTGTTAGACACAGTAAAGACACACAAAACAAAAAGTCCCTGGCTCCAAAGAGCTTACAATCGAAGAATAAGAGAAGAGACAACAGAGGCATACAGACAGATAGTGGAATACAAGGAAACAATTAGACAGTATTGGTCAGCATAGCAGGCAGTGAATGAAGGGATTTATCCTGGAAAATAAAGCTAATACAATCTTGTTTTGGGGAAAATTCAAAATTCAGATAAATCAATGCAAATGGAGACAGATACTTTGAAAAAAACAGTTACACTGAAAGAGAGCAAGGGATGATTGTGGACACCAAACAACCTAGATAAGAGCTGTCTTCTCATTTGGGAGCTGCACACAAAGAGGTATCATGGCCCAGGATGACGTCATGTCCCTTGTGAGCACATACCTAGAATAACACTCAGCTGGTAGTACAAGAAACAATTTAAATGAAATTAAAAGAAATGCAGCAAAATGTTTAAAGGAAGGGAGGAACAGACTTCTGAGGAAAGACAGAGTCAAATACATACAGTTTGACTAAATGACGACAAAGTAAAGACAACACTCTTTATAAAAAGAACGAGGAGTACTTGTGGCTCCTTATGGACTAACAAATTTATTTGGGCATAAAACCCACTTCATCAGATGCATGGAGTGGAAAATATAGTAGGAAGATATATATCTATATATATATACACACACACACACACACACACACACACACACACACACAGAGAACATGAAAAGATGGGGGTTGCCATACCAACTCTAATGAGACAAATCAATTAAAGTGGGCTATTATCAGGAGAAAAAACATTTGTAGTGATAATCAGGATGGCCCATTTCAAACAGTTGACAAGAAGGTGTGAGTAACAGTAGGGGGGGAAATTAGCATGGAGAAATAGTTTTTAGTTTGTGTAATGACCCATCCACTCCCAGTCTTTATTCAAGCCTAATTTAATGGTGTCCAGTTTGCAAATTAATTCCAGTTCTGCAGTTTCTCATTGGAGTCTGTTTTTGAAGGTTTTTTGTTGAAGAATTGAGACTTTTAGGTCTGTACTTGAGTGTCCAGGAAGGTTGAAGTGTTCTCCGACTGGTTTTTGAATGTTATCATTCTTGAAGTCTGATTTGTGTCCATTTATTATTTTGCGTAGAGACTGTCCAGTTTGGCCAATGTACATGGCAGAGGGGCATTGCTGGCACATGATGGCATATATCACATTGGTAGATGTGCAGGTGAACGAGCCCCTGATAGTGTGACTGATGTGATTAGGTCCTATGATGGTGTCCCATGAATAGATATGTGGACAGAGTTGGCAATGGGCTTTGTTGAAATGGGCCATCCTGATTATCACTATAAAAGTTTTTTTTCTCCTGCTGATAATAGCCCACCTTAGTTGATTTGTCTCGGTAGAGTTGGTATGGCAACCCACATCTTTTCATGTTCTCTATATAGATATATCTTCCTACTGTATTTTCCACTCCATGCATCTGATAAAGTGGGTTTTCGCCTACAAAAGCTTATGCCCAAATAAATTTGTTAGTCTCTAAGGTGCCACAAGTACTCCTTGTTCTTTTTGCTGATACAGACTAACACAGCTATCACTCTGAAACTCTCTCTATGTATATCTAAAAGGTGTACACTCCAAGGACATGCAGAAGTTTAGGGTGACCTACAGACATAATGGAATGAAATAAAACAAAGGAAAAGTCAGAATGAACATTAGGAAGCTTGTCTTAACTGTGGGACTTCTTAGGTTGCAGAGTAGTCTCTAGAAGGCAGTGGAGTTATTTGCAACTGGACAAGCCACTGAGTTATATATTGTACTACAGGGAACCAGTGATTGGCAGAGGAAATGGTCTAGGTGAGCTAACAGGTCATTGTCTCGAATTTCAATTCTTAAACTAAGACTTATCTTGCAACACAACAAGGCACAACCGGCTGCCCCATCAGAATTCCATGTTGGGGAAATAAGTCTCAATTGTGAATCTAGTTTCTGTGGTTCGTGCCAGAGCCTTTAATGTATTTTCAATGCAGTTTTTGTTGGCTTGTTTTAACACATGGATAACTGTTAGTATGTGAACAACAAAACCTGTTTTTGGAGTTAACGTGTGGCTGATTGGGCATCAAGAATGAAGACAGGGACTGTATTTTAAACACGTCTCATTTTTAGCCCATGGACTAAAACCTACTGAAGTCTAGGGATGAAACAGATTTGGATAAGCTGCGAGGATACAAGAGGAAATACTGAGACTCTCTGGAAGGGAGCCAAGGCTCTGTGCACCATGATACAGCCACACAAAACCAGTAGTTTTTTTTTAATGGCAAAAATGTAACCATAAAAGTGAATAAAAATAGATTTTACAATTTACAACTCAAAAAACAGATGTGGTTTTTCGTTTTTTCTTCTTCAATTTTTTGAAAATCACTCCCAGGCTGAGACCCTGTATGCTACGTATAAGCCCACAGTTGACTTTTATGACTGAGCTATATACCACTATGTTAGAAAGCCAGAGCCTTACGATATACACTATAGTTAGAGGAGAGATGTTAGAATATTTAACATTATTATATTTAAAATAAATAAATAATCTACCATAGTTACAGAACCCAGTACTGTAGTGCAACCTGGTGAAAAGTATTTGCCGATCTCATGGAATATGAATCCCTGCCTGTTTTGTGCCATTAGAGATCCATCTGTCTTGATTATTAGGGCCTCAGGCTCTCCATTTCCTAATAAATTTACATTGGGATTCAGAGACTTATTGCTGATCACAACATCAAGAAGGGTTTCCCTAAACCTCTGACTGCTAGAAGCTGGGACTGGACGACAGAGGATGGATCACGCGATAATTTGCTCTGTTCAGTTCATTCCCTCTGAAGCATCTGGCACCGGCCACTGTCAGAAGATAAGATACGGGGCTAGATGGACCATTGGTCTGACCCAGTATGGTCATTTTTATGTTCTTAAGGGTTACAGCAATTAGGTGAAGGAGGGAAACACACCATTTTCTATAATATTTCTGATAACTAAGACAAGAAAATATCTGAGAAGCAAATTCTAATAGTATGCAAAACCCTGAGAAAGGGGATGGAAGGATTTTCTTGTCACCTATAAATGAGGCAATGGGAGAGGGTTAACCTTAAAATATGACCGAACCATACAAAAAACAATTGATTCTTTGGGATGTAATCAGCACAAAAATCCAAGGGTCCAAAAGTATTCAGTGTATCACACAAGAGTAATAACGTAGCCGTTTTAGCAATGTTTATGAGGGTATCACTTAGCGGTGTCTGACCTCTGCTTCTATGTTTAGGCCTCTCTCTATATTTTTACCCAGGCTGCACCCCATGAAGACTGCTACTTTTGCTTTTCTATGTAGATTTGTATAAGGTCACCTGTTATGTGGTATCTGTGAGTCTTCGAATGTCAGTAACTTGCCTTTATTAACAGAGGAACATGTGTATATAGGAAAAGCGAGGAGTCAAAGCCCTAGCTGCAAGAATTCTTTATGATACTGTGCCATGAGAGCTCGTTTGGTGATTTTCCAAGTGTAACCAGTTTGTCAGAATCTCAAAACCTTTCTTTCCTGTTAACTTATTTAAATAGATACCATGCTTTTTGTGGATGGTGCACAGTGTTATTAAGAAAGAATCCACAGTAAACACTCACTGTATTGGTTCAGTTCTAATTCTTAAAAACGTTCTTCAGTAACGTGGGTTTGTCTGTCCTTGTGCTCGTCTCCGTATGCCTGTTTCCCATCTTGACCACGTTTTATCAGTTTACCTGTTCTATTCCTTATGCACCACTCAAAACAAGACATTTGGGGGAAAGCACTATTCTAATACTAAGAACTTTATGTAGTGCTGAAATGTACAGTGCACTTGTAAAAACATACAATAAGACACTCTCTGCTCTCAAGAGCTCACAATCTAACACAGCATTTCACAGCCAAAAGGGGTTTTAAAATTATTATTAGACTGTGATCTATATCGCTGCCCTTGCATGTTGACCAGATCTTCAAGTAT